TAAACGTGAGTGCAAAAGTGAAAGTTTTTTTTTAAATAATAATCTATTGGTTGGGAATATGATGATAACCTTTGAGGTTATGCCTTTTGAATGCACTACTACGTATTAAAATAAATATTATATATCCACACTGACAGGTTATACAAGCGGGTTGCTAAGCGTAGTGCTGATATGAAGATTTGGTTACGCTCGACCGGGGAAGGACCACGCTCTCACAGAATACCAGCGTAAAATAGCAGCTTAACGCTGCTGTGTTTCGTATAGTGAGTGTAGATAACCGGAGACCCTATTTACTGGAAAATAGGCATTCCATTTTAGTCTTAGTCCTCACGGCTAACAACTCATCTGCATTTTGATTCTTAATTGAGTATTAATGTAGATGTCTATAGGCCACAGCATGCACTTACCATCAGGTAAACTGTGTGCTCGTTTGTCACCCTTATTCTATATTTATTTATTTGATTAGGATTACCAACAGAAATAACTATAGTATTACAATATGTATATGATATTGGAACTCACTTCACTCTTTGCTCTAAATTTATTCTGTCTTCGTCGACGACTGATGTCATCAGCATAAATTAACAGATTAGGAGTTAACTCCTTCATATCTATTGTAATAGCATCGAGCACTACGTTAAACAATAATTTAAAATTTTGTACAACCGACTTCAATATGAATTATTAAGAATAACTCAAAAACTATTAGTCAGACTTTGATCAAATTTATATGGGACCACATGAGAAGTACCAGATTTCAAACAAAAAAACATCATCGAAATCGGTTCACTTAGAAAGAAGTTATGAGGTAACATACATAAAATACAGTCGCATCGAGTACCATCTCCTTTCTGAAGTCGGTAGAAAAGGGACCTATAGCAGACTCTTGGTGAACTCCAAACAATTGCTTGGAAAGGCTTGGTATCGCCAATAGCATACCGAACAAAAAATTCAGGGTTCAGGTACATATCCCGCATGATATTAATGCAGACTTCAGGTATATATTTGAATCACAGAACTCACCAAATGATTTCTCGAAGCACACAGTCAAAAGCCTACTGCAGATCGGGAAAAGCGATATGTAGACGCTGTTCTCCAATATTATTATTTTTTATTTATTAGGATGGACTTTACGGTTCGACAGCCAGAATAGCGTTCTTTAGTTAAGTGTCCTTAGACAGCTTAGCCTGAACGCGTACAATTACTTGTATATTGCGATAGAACTAAGTAGGTATATGCAATCCATATCCATACTTAAAAATAAAATTAAAGTGTCCGTCTGTAATATCGAAATAACTGTCCTAATATTGATCTGATCGGATTATTTGCATGTCATTAAGACATGTCCATTGCAATTTCAACTCAACGTCGCATTAATAGAGTCCGTCCAAAATTGCCAGAATACTGTAGGCTACAAGTATTTATTGATACGCCTTTATTCTCAGAAGCGCATTGAGCCAGATACTGCAGCGCATTTCTACTGCTTGTAAGGATGTCGTATTTCTTTAAACCACAATTGCTCAGATACGAGCATATAAAGCTGTATTCGCTGGCTCAAATTGAGACGCAGAGTGCGCTCGCGTCGCTGTTTTGCTGCGTGTAAGAGAGCGGCGGAAATAAATTGCTCATGTAAACGTAATACCAAAATCGTTTTTGTTAAAATTATAAAAATTAATGTGGACAATTTATGATATTATTCGGATTTGGGTAATGATTATCTAGATTCATGAGTGCAACGTCGCGCGAGGAACCAACTTATTTTAGCCAGCTCGGTTAACTGGCTTGCCCCGATGTGTGCTGATCCCGTTAGGACCGTTGTAGCTCAGGCGTTAAGCGCTGGCTGTAATTTGACCGGCCGGCACCAATTAAATTTTTAATTGCAATCACCACGTGCTCAATCAAAACATCGTGAGAAAACCTGCATGTCTGAGAAATAAGAAAAAAAATTTTGAACAAGACATGTAAAGTTCGCCTACATGCATTGGGGCAGCGCGGCCGACATTTCCTAGTCCTGAAGGCCTGTTTTCACTTTGATTAGTGATTAGTGCAGGTGGTTAGTGCAGGTGCTTAGTGTTTAGGAGTAAACACGTGTAGACAGCGATTGATTAGTGCAAGTGATTAATAACCTGTGTAGTAAAGTGATTAGAAGCGTGTTCTATTTTTTTGCGAGTGGACTGCGAGTGTCACGCCCCGCGTGCCCTACCTTTCCCCTCACTCGCAGCATGCCTGCCACTAAACACGTTTGGACAGCAGTGCTAAGTGTTTAGCGTTTAGCGTTGGACGCTTGCTTCTGTTAAAAAAATGTCCATACTTCCTGGTCGACGGCTAACAACTGAATTTACTAAACACAGCCACTAAATAGAATTGGACACTATTTACACTACACACCTGCACTAATCAACCGCAATTACTAATCACCTGCACTCGCACTAATCAAAGTGAAAACAGGCCTTAACACTGCTGTCCAGACGTGTTTAGTAGCAGGCATGCTGCGTGTGAGTGGGAAGGGAGAACGCGCGGGGCGTGGATACCCACAGTCCACTCGCAAAAAATAGAACACGCTTCTAATCACTTTACTACACAGGTTACCAATCACTTGCACTAATCAATCGCTGTCCACACGTGTTTACTCCTAATCACTAAGCACCTGCACTAATCACTAATCAAAGTGAATACAGGCCTTAAAACCTCTCAGAAATGAGGAAGGCTTGTGCCCAGTAGTAGGATGTATATAGGCTGTTACTTCACTTTACTTCTACTATCTAGATTCCTAAAGTTCAATGATTTTTCCCTAAAATGTAAGCGGATTGCATTTTTCGTATTTTTGTATGTAGACGTGTTGTCTCCGTATTTGTTTTGTATTAAAAACAACGGTATTATCGTACGTTTTCGTTATTGTTATGGAGACCGTTATCGTCGTTGTCACCTCGTCTCCCCTTTGAATACGCCTCGACTTTGTAGTCGTCTTTCCTTACTAACATTTTGTGCCACTATTGCACATTACAATTTTTTTTATATAGGATAGGGTGACAAACGAGATACACAGTCCACCTGATGGTAAGTGGTTGCTGTGACCCATAGACATCTACATATATCATCAATATATAACGAATAATGAGGTTCTTAAAACCTTGCGGTGTCTAGTCGTGAATAAAGCTGACCAGATGGTATACCAGCTATAGTCCTAAAGGCTTGTGCACCTGAGTTGTCTCCTGTGTTGACACGCTTGTTCCGCCTCTCATTTAGTACTGGAATAGTGCCAAAATCCTGGAAGCTGGCCAACGTGCAGCCTGTTCCAAAAAAGGGCAGCCGCGCCGACCCTGCCAATTATCGTCCAATCTCAATTACCTCCATACTCTGCAAGATTATGGAGCGTATATTGAATGCCCGCTTAATGGCATATCTAGAACAGAAAGACCTCCTTAGTTACCGGCAATATGGGTTTCGCCGAAATCGGTCAGCTGGGGACCTTCTACCGTATGCCACACACGTATAGGGAGAGGCACTCGAGTACAGTGGGGAAGCACTTGCTGTTTCCCTTGATGTCTCGAAGGCCTTTAACAGAGTTTGGCACACTAGCGTTTTGGGTAAGCTTCCAGCGTACGGCTTATCCCCTGGTCTGATTGAATGGGTAAAGGACTTTCTGAGTGAACGGTCTTTCCGGGTCGTCGTCGATGTCTGCTCATCCGATCCTATGGCGACTAACGCCGGTGTTCCTCAGGGGTCCGTTCTCTCCGCAACTCTCTTCCTGCTGCATATTAATGATCTGCTTATGCCCGGTATCTATGGGTATGCAGACGATAGCACAGTTGTTGAGAGATACCAACCAAGTCCTCGGGCCAGTCGGGATCAAATCCAGTCCGAAAGAGAAGCTATGGTAGAGCGTGTGAATCTCACATTATAGGCAGTCTCCGATTGGGGCGATGCCAATCTTGTGAAGTTCAACGCCTCCAAAACACAAGCGTGTCTCTTCACTGCAAAAAGGAGCCAGCTCACCTTGGCTCCTTCTTTCCGAAATGTATCCCTGAAATATACCGACCGCCTTCAGTTGTTAGGAATTGAAATATCCCCAAATTTGAACTTCGGGCGGTTCATTGAGTCCAAGGCCAAAGCAGCTGCAAGGAAGCTGGGAGTCCTTGCAAAGGTGCGGCGATACTTCACGCCGGGACAGCTGCTTACTTTATATAAAGCGCAAGTCCGGTCGTGCATGGAGTATTGCTGCCATATATGAGCTGGTGCTGCAAAATGCCACTTAGCAGCTTTGGACTCAGTGGAAAGGCGTGCTAAGAGGCTTATTGGTGACCCGAATTTGGTTAAAACCAATCTTACCAGCCTCGAACACCGACGTAAAGTAGCCAGCCTTTCGGTTTTCTACAGGATGCATTTCGGAGAGTGTGCGCAGGAATTACATAATTTAATTCCACCCTCTCCCTTCCACCATCGGACAACCAGACGTTCTGCCAGTCTCCACACTTTCGTTGTTGACTTACCACGCATTCGAACCAAACGGTTCGCCACGTCGCTCATCATGCGTACTACAAAGGAGTGGAATAAGTTGCCAGCATCTGTATTTTCATCCGATTACAGTGTGGGTGTCTTCAAGGCAAGAGTGAATAGGCTTTTGTTAAGTCAGTGCGCTTCACCATCTTAGGCTACATCACCACTTACCATCAGGTGGTATCGTAGATAAGCGCTGGCTTAGTGGAATATAAAAAAAAAAAATAAAGACTCAAAGTGCAGATACGTCGTCACCCGTGAGGACTAAGATGGAGTGCCTCTTTTCCGATAAAATGGGTCTCCGGTTCTCTACACTCACCATACGAAACACAGCAGTGTCAAGCTGCCATTTTACGCTGGTATTCTGTGAGAGAGTGGTCCTTCCCCGGTCGAGCCGACCCATTCGTGCTACAACTATACTACTAATATAGCTGCAGCATGGCTCTACCACGTATAATGTCTTTCTCTTGTGTATGAAGGTGTAAAAATGAAACAAAAAATATAAAACATAATTTATTTATTGTGCCTTAATTTATAAGTCTTAAAGAATATGTACTCTGACATACGTAGAAGTGGTGTTTGACGTGCTGTGTGTTTGTGCATTTAACAATAAAACGCGACTCCCCGGCCATCGGAACCAAGCTCGATTCCTATTACTTCTTCATGCTGTTGACGAGGGCTTTGAAGGCGTCCAGACCCTTCTCGTTAGCCTCCTGGTAGCCTGGTGCTGTGGTCTTTACGGTTTCGTACCATCTGAAAACAAAATGTCAAAGTCAGTGCAGCTCAGTAAAGTTCGTACGTGGTAGAGTCACACTGCAGCTGTATATAGCTGCAGCACGAATGAGTCATCTCGACCGGTGAAGCACCACGCTCTCACAGAATAGCAACGTAAAATTTCAGCAGATGTAGACGTCTATGGGTCACAAGTCACAACATCCACTTACCATAAGCTGGACTGTAAGTTAGTTTGTCACACTTACTACTATAAAAAAAAAACTATTTAGGCCTGCGTCGGGACTATAGAATCAAAATTTACCATAGATTTAAAGACCATGAACTGTTCAGAAAAGAACGAAAGCAAACTCTTTAGTCATATTATTAGGTTGAGTGATTTACTACAGCCAAAATATGTCTCACGTGGGCAAAAGCCTCCTCTCATTTTGAGAGGAATATTACCATCACCATCACTACCCCGTATCATCTACGTAGACTACAGAGGAAAAATGAACCAGGAGTTGGATGGCAGTATTTTCGTAATAATTGCTGAATAAAAAAAACTGTGGTTGCCAACTCGCTTGCCAAACATAGTAAGTATGGAAAGTATCCCTCTTATAAGGATGTGCATATGCTATATTTTTTTAATAGAATAAGGGTGGGAAACGAGCACACAGTCCACCAAGTGGTTGCTGCGGCCCATAGACATCTACATCTATCCTCTATTACAAATCAAAATGCAGATGCGTCGTCACCCGTGAGGACTAAGATGGAATGCCTCATTTCCAGTAAAAAGGGTCTCCGGTTCTCTACACTTAGCATACGAAATACAGCAGCGTTAAGCTGCTATTTTACGCTGGTATTCTGTGAGAGTGTGGTCCTTCCCCGGTCGAGCCGACCCATTCGTGCTATAAATATACTAATAATATAGCTGCAGCATAGCTCTATCACGTAAAATATATGGGGGAGGTCTACGTTAGTGGAAAAGCGATCGCCCCCACCAGCTAGAGTCATACTTAGTAAGAGATGCAAGAAGTCAAAGGATGTAGGTGGCTTAGTACCGTACTTTGTGGCATTCTTTGGGGGCAAACAATGGACTTGTAATGGGCTGAAGTGCTGATAATGATTGATGCTGGCGGGATTGTAGCTTGAGTTCCATTTAGAAGTTAAACAATATTGTTAGTGGTAGACAACGTAGTTGGGGGACTAAACATTCGCCTTAATATTTTTATAGTAAACGAGTGAACAGAGTTCGATTCCTCGACAAAGATGGGTTTGAAATGACATTTATAATTTCAATTTTAAACTCTTTTTATTTATAACGTGCTCGGCGGTAAAAAAACACATTGTGAAAAAAACCAGAAATTTTAAAATTCCAGGACATGTAAAGTTAGTCAACTATTAGAGGAAGAAGTCCATACGAACTTATCCTGGCCAAAAACCCTATCTGAAATTAGAGAAGGTATGTACCAAGCAGCGGGACATAATGTAGGCTATTACACACAGACATCATATAAAGAAGCTGTTACTTTGAAAACAGATGAATACACCTTACCTCTTAACATTGGGGAACTTCTTGAAGTCAATATCGGAGGCTTCGAAGCTGGACACGCTGGCAATCAAACTGAGGTCGGCAACGGTGAGGCCGGGTCCCGCCGCGTACTTCTGTCCCTCGAGGAATGTGTCCAGAATCTTGAGAGCATCCTCCACCTTCGCGAGCTTGTCCTTATCAGCTGGCGCTCCGGCAAACACTTGTGGGTACTGGAAATTGGGAATATTAGTGTTATAGTCGTCTTATACTCTCCTTACTGTATCCTGTATATGCCCTGCGGTGTAATAATTTATCACCCCATCTCATCCTGAGGGAGTTGTAACAGAAATGGTGCCATGTGCTAAGACTCCTTTTTTGCCTAAGTGTTTGCCTATGTACCTCCCTCATTACTGCATCCGCAACCACGCAGCAGTGCTTGCACTCCTATGTTCCAGTCTAGAAAGCAGGCGCATAGCTACCGCCGTATCATCCGTATCAATGATATGGGGCCCCCGGACTACAGAGGCCCCGAACGGATGTAAGCAAACATTCTAAGGACTTCTATGGGACAGGACGTTGCTTTGGACTGTTTAGCTAGCTTAGTTCCTGGGAGTATTAATTGTAAGTAATAACTTATAATCAATATATAATTATTTTAATTAAATACGAGAGTTTTTGTTCCTTTTGTGAAAAATCCTTACCCTTCATTTGGGCCCTCCGATAAATTTTGAAATAGGCCTTTGATCTAAGGCACGCTACTCCACTGTTAGAAAGCCAGTCTATTTATAAGCTGTGTGACATTCCAGCTTAGTCTTAGGTTAGGACACACTGCCTTCTTTGTTTGAAGTTGGTGGCAGGTGTCCATGCACTACTTATTTCAAACAAAAGCAGAAACAATAAAAAATAAAGATTATAAATAATACTTATTGAAGGTCACTATTATGTTTTTTTTATTTGCCACTGGTTCGGAAAGAACCAGTAAGAAGCCCAGCAGGACTTTCTTATTTAAAAAAAAAAACAGTTTACAATGATAAACAATTAACAACACAAAACAAATTAGAAACAGCTTGGTAGCGATCACCTATTTCCGAGGAATTATTATCGTCCATAAATTGCTTAATATTATAATAAGTAACCCTTTTTTTACAAATTTTGTTTAATAAAGTGTCTGAACTTTGAGAAGGTTAAATTTTGTATATTTTCTGGGAGCCTTCGGAATTAGTTTCGGATGAGTCACCTGTCTGTCTGTCTGTCTGTTTGTTCCGGCTAATCTCCGAAACGGCTGGAACGATTTTGACGGGACTTTCATTGGCAGATAGCTGACGTCATAAGGAGTAACTTAGGCTACTTTTATTTTAGAAAAATAATTAGAGTACCGCGCAAAAAATAATCCCTACCCACGCGAGCGAAGTCGCGGGGAACAGCTAGTTAATTAATAAAAGTAATTAATTAATCATTGAGTTATATGTACTACGTACTAGAGAAGCCATTCCAAACAAAAATTGTGTCCTACTCTATGTCTTCGCGCATGCGCGGGAGTAGTAGTCGCGCATGTGCGAAGACTTTAATTTGATATAAAATAAGATATTAATATAAAATAAATATAAGAATTTAATATAAAATATATTAATTTAATCTAAACAATCATATTTCTAAATAAAATGTAATAATAATTATTTTATGGAATTCACAAATCTTCAATTTACGCAATATTTAGTTTGTACGAGTATGGATTGCACTACAGTACAGTTGAACATAGTCAATGTTCAGAATGGCTTCTCTAGTACGTAGTGCATATAACTCAATGTAATTAATTAATTAATTAAAATACCATTTATGGCCACGATCAAACTGCTAAGTAATCAATGAAGTATGTATATTCGAACAATTCTATTGACCTTGAATGCCTTTCATTTAACCTTAAACTCACACAATTTTATTTGACTGTTGCGATTACGTAATGCATATTATGTTTGTACCGCAGGTACAGACTGCGGTTTCCATTCATCCAATCATTACAGACTATAAAAATATATTGCAACATGACGGGATTTTGCTATAGTTTCCAAGATTGGCAGCTACAGAATACCAGCGTAAAATACCAGCTTAAAACTGCTGTGTTTCGTATGGTGAGCGTAGAGAACCGGAGCCCCTTTTTACTGGATACGAGGCATTCCATCTTAGTCCTCACGGGTGACAACGCATCTGCATTTTGATTCGCAAACGAGGGTAGATGTAGATGTCTATGGGCCACAGAAAGCACTTACCATAAGGTGAACTGTATGCTCGTTAAACAGTTTTGCAGGAAAATCCTAGTGTGGTGGTTTTCAAACCATTCATTCATTTTAAACCAAAAAAAAATAAGTATACGTGGCTTATGTCCAAATGGTCAAATGCTACTCAATTTTAAAAACGTCGTTGTCTCGTGGTGTCACAGTCGCTTTGACTTAAAGTGAAAGAGACAGCACGAGACCTAAAGTCGTCTTAAAATTGAGCAGAGTTTGAATATTTAGCATTACAAATTCAAAAAACCACTTTATTCCGATAACTTATAAGCGATAACGTAAGAAAAAGTTGAGGACGCAATGTCAGATACGGGAACAGTGGCAGTGCCACCGTCAGTCCGCAAAAGTCGACTGTTGGACATGAGCCTCTGCCGTAAAGAGGCTTAATTTGTTTTTATTGTTACGCTCGGCAGGTAGATATTTATAAAGTTTGTTAATAACTTCACTAAATCACCACCTGTCGCATCCAAGTATAATTATTATGAAGTATCATCTCGATTAAACAAATATATTGTGTCAATTCTGGAAACGTTACATGATCACTGACAGATGCACCAACACTTAAATATACAGGGTTATTTGGCAAGGAGTAGCCAAATTTTCAACTTACCTATGTAACTTAAATAATACCGTTATTGCAGGTTTACAAAAACACGATTAACTAAGGCTACTACTTTTATTTGAAATTATACCAAATTGAATGTGATTTATGGTTTGAGGTTTCCCGCAGTCGCCTCTTACGACACCCAAGGGATAAAAACAAGGTGATGGGTTCTCTAGAAAGGTCTCTAAAAAGCACTGAAATTAAAAACGAAATCCAACAGCCACCGGATTTGATAGGAGCCGATGATCTTGGCTAGATAGAGACGATCTGATAAGACGTGCAACAAAAGGCGATACGAAAGACGGAGGTGGTTAGGGACCGCGCTTTGTGACATCACGTCGGGAGGCAAAGACTTCTATGCATATTACTTGACAGGCAAATCAAAACAAAACTGTCACAGGTCACAGCCATGGACTGCGCGGGCGTGGGCGGTTAGTTGGCACAGTTATTATCACGCAGTTGTATTTTCATTTACGACATCTACCGTTTTTAGGATAATATGAAATAAAATAAAATTACATACGTATCTGATAAATTCTTTAAATCGCTTTCACAAAGTGCGCACATAAATAATGACAGCGTTTTCTTAGTCACATTAAACAAAATCAGTGTTAGATTGTCGAAAACAACGTTCGCAGTTTACAAAACAAAGAACTAGTTTTCTCGCCCGCTCACAGTCGACTAAAGGAGTTACGGAGAATTGACCGCAACTTAGTGCGCAATTTATTAAGGCCGCAAAGCCCGTGTAGTTGTATAAATAATATAATGGATGCCATACACGATCTAGTTTACTGTTAAGTTTGCAGCGCGCTTGAAGAGGCGTCCGGTAAACTTGACGGTGTATGGCGATCAGTGTGCATGACAAGTCTACTTGAAGAAAAATTTAATTTCGATTCTGCCGACTTGATCAAGCTTGCAAACTGGAACGTGTGTACGAGCAGTCAAGTATACATGACGGTAGTTTTCTAGAACTATTTTAATAAATTAGGTGTAAAAATATTTACAAATATAATGTGATGCCATCCATAACATCAGAGCGTCTATCTAAGTAGTTTTAAATAATAATAAAACACAACACTTCATCCTTTCCTTCTTAATACTACGAAAATACACCGAATTGCGATTTTTCAACACATAAGCGCACGGGACGAATGCTGACAGTATACTAACTAAAGCCACGCCCAGTATGATGACGTCAGGACCTACTTAGAATCACAGTGCACAGTTGCTTATGCCGTCTCCCCTTTGTATTAGCTTCATGGTTTCAACTGATGCGGCATCATGCATACTTAACGGCAAACTTGAACGTGAGTGGTCTATATGGATGCACTGCAAACTTGACGCCGCTTCAAGCGCGCTGCAAACTTGACGGTAAACTGGATCGTGTATGACATCAATTAATCTTTGTTGGCAGACCTATATATAGCATTGGTCTTGTGTAAGACTGTAATGATGAAAATTATCTAATAAGATACTTACGAAGTACTCGCTGAATCGCTGGTAGAGTGTGCCGATGTCGAAGTACAGGCGCTGGTCGACGAGAGCACGAGCGCGGGGCTCCTCTGGGTAGAGCCCGCTGGATTTCCCGTACTTGTTCACCAGGTATGTGATGATAGCGCGGGACTCGCTCAGCGCCAGCCCATCGTCCACCAGCGTGGGTACTGTGTGTTGAGGGTTCAGCTGGAATAGGAATGTATCGCTTTATATAACGTTATGTGTAGTATATTACATTGAGCAGTCAATAATAATCCGTCTCGAAGGACTAAAAACAAAGGGTAGACTTTTACCCTAACACTTTATAATGCTAAATGATATGGACAGTAAATATAATAAAAAACCGACTGCCATGAGTGCTGATAATACACGCTGATTTATAAATTGATTACGTGATAGAATTTGCACACATATAAAAAATAGTGCGGAAACATTAGCTAAGTACCTACACATATAAAATATTGCTATGTATTTGTTTTTTATGATCTCGACAACAGCGTCGCTAACCGCGTTCACTTTAGCACACACAAAACAAATCATCAGAATCGGTCGAGTCAGTTTCTAGTTTTAGCGAGACTAACGGACAGCAATTGATTTTTGTATATAGAGATAAGGGTGACAAACGAGCACACAGTCCACCTGATGGTAAGTAGACAGCTGTGGCCCATAGACATCTACATCTATCCTCTATTACAAATCAAAATGCAGATGCGTTGTCACCCGTGAGGACTAAGATGGAATGCCTCATTTCCAGTAAAAAGGGTCTCCGGTTCTCTACACTCACCATACGAAGCACAGCAGTATTAAGCTGCTATTTGACTCTGGTATTCTGTGAGAGCGTGGTCCTTCCCCGGTCGAGCTGAACCATAATATTTCTAGCTGCAGCGTAGCTCTACCACGTATAAGATTATTGAGGGCATTGAGAATAAAAAAGCACTGCCTCAAGGTCTCGGAGTCACGGAACTTTAACACGTAAGTACACAACAACGAAATGCATGCATTGTGTATGTTTTGATTTTAATTATTTTATAGAACATATTATATTAAACCTTTTAATAAATAAAGCCTGTATATTTTCTGGGATTTTGTTGTAAAAACTTTTTGGAGTCGAGTAACTGGTTTAACTAACTTGTGCTTGTACCTAGTACTTACAGAATGTACATCACTATTTTTAATAAAACTATTTTTGCACATGCATTAAATTTACGTAAAAATATATTGGGAAGCCAAGGTTAATATATTCATTTCCTAAATTTTTTCCTATTTAATACAAAAGTCTTACGTTCCGTTTCATAAATTCAACCGGTTTTTATAACATTAGTGCCACATAGCTTCGTAAACTTGATTGGGAAATTAAATGGTTATTTTCAGGCTAACTCTAAACACTTTTTAGAGTTAAATTAAAAGTGTAAAATAAATGTTTATGAACTGTATAATAAATTACTAGTTTAACAACTGAAGTTTTTATACGTGGTGGAGCTATGCTATATTATAGCAGAAGCTCGATTGGGTCGGCTCGACCGGGTGAGGGTCACGCTCTCACAGAGTACCAGCGTAAAATAGTAGTTTATTGCTGCTGTGTTTCGTACGAGTATGGTGAGTCGGTGAGTGTAAAGAGTGTACTGGAAACATGGCATTTCATCTTAGTCCTTGGGAGTAACAACGTATCTGAATTTTGATTTTTAATCGATGATAGATAGATGTTTATGGCCGCAGTTTCCACTTACCAGCAGGTGGACTGTGTGCTCCTTTGACACCTTTATACAATTTAAAAAAATATATGAAACAAGTGCTTCGAAGGAGATCCTGATGTGAATCTCGAGGTTTTGTGTTAGTTTCGGCGCTATTGAGTTAATAACGTAGTCGATTAGCTGTAGGTTAATCTATCAAAATTTCCTAAACACTTCAGAATGATTTTTTTTAATTTTTGGAAAAATTTCATAACAAAATGTTTATTGGATATTTTAAAGTACAATTTTCAAATACTCGATACCAGCAAAAGTATTAATCCTACGAGTCCATATTCCATTAGTAAATAATTTAAAATTTAAAATTTTGTACAACCGACTTCAATATAAGTTATTTAATAATAACTCAAAAACTATTGGTCTGACCTTGATCAAATTCAAATGGGACCACACGAGAACTATGAGCTTTCATATAAAAAAAGAATCATCGAAATCGGTTCACCCAGTAAAAAGTTATGAGGTAACACACAAAAAAAACATACACTCGAATTGAATACAGTCTCCTTTTTGGAAGTCGGCAGAAAAGAAAAGAAAAAACTGCGACTGATTTTAGGCATGAATACTGTACCTAACAAAGTATTATAAATTCGTGGTTTTAGATACATAGCTTAAAAATGCATTTAAAAATAATGGATAATAATAAAATAATCTTATAAAAAAATTAATTATTTAGAAACTCATTAATATATTTAGAAACCGGGGAAGGTGTCGTGGTCTGCAAACGGTACAACATTAAATTTTTACAGTGACCATTAAACTTGGATACGAATCCATTTAAAAACAGATTTTCTCATGATTAAATGTTTCCATTATTCAAAAAGCGGAGCCTTGGTAGATTTACCCACGGAGTATTTACTGCCTATGCGTAAGCAATGAGCATTGCCACTTGGTATTATAGTAACGTAGGATTTTAGAATGTGCGAATTTGTAAAGCCTTTCGTTTGAAACAATGGCATTGAACAAAAGCAACTAATTAACCAGAAGTATTAACGTGTCTTCATCAATAAATCTAAGTATGTGACCAAACTGGAGCCTATCTGTACTCTCTCTAGAATTTATTTTTCTGTTCGAGCCTTATTTTTAACTAACTTCAAAAAGGACGGAGTTATTAATTTGACTGTATTTTTTTTTTATGTGTACCTCATAGCCTTTTACTGGGTGAACCAATTTCGATTATTCTTTTTTTTATTTGAAAGTAGGTGCTTCTCATGTCCCATATAAATTTGATCAAGACCTGACCAATAGTTTCAGAGTTATTGAAGTCGGTTGTACAAAATTTTTAATTTTAAATTATTTATACACAGCTTCGCCGATCGCGAACCGATTACAATAATTATGTTTTATTAAATAGATAATAGCTCGATTACTTACAAGTCTAAATTTGAAGAAAAAATTACAACTCTATGGATTGAAAGACAGGAGATGAAGGCGTCATCTTGATCTTGTTATTGCATAGTCCATTGAAAAGAGTCAAATACTTAAACTTTTGGAAAAAAAGTAAAAACCGATTTCAAATTACTAAATAGGAAATAATTTAAAATTATTTTTTTTTACAATAGACTTCAATATATATTATTAAGGATAACTCAAAATTATTGATCAGACCTCAATCAAATTTATATGGGACCACACGAGACGCACCAGCTTTGAAATAAAAAAAGAATCATTGAAATCGGTTCACGTAGAACAAAGTTATGAGGTAACACACATAAAAAAACACAGTCGAATTGAGGACCTCCTCCTTTTTGAAGTCGGTAGAAAATAACAAAATAATGCGGGTCTGTAATTCTTCGATGTCTCTAAATTTGTCTTAACTCCGACTACAGCTATTAAACTGTGTGGACATTATTTTATCCCTTTTTAAATTTTTCAAGTTGGTCTTACTTTTTCAACCGACTTTAAAAAGGGAGGAGGTTCTCAATTAGACTGTTTTATAATGTGTGTTACCTCAGAACTTTTTTCAGGTGAACAGATTTTGATGATTCTTTTTTTTTATTTGAAAGCTGATGCTTCTCATGTGTTCCCATATAAATTTGATCAAGATCTGACCAGTAGTTTTTGAGTTATCCTTAATAATGCGTATTTAATTGACTTCGTCTAAGTTGATGATGTACTCAATGTATTTATATTGAAGTCAATTGTACAATTTTTTTTTTAATTTTACCACTTGTTTAAAGTTTGATTATGTTTCCCTTGGGTTGATTTCCATAATACCTACAAAAAGAAAATAGTAGCCATTTCATGCTTTCTCTTAAAAACATGAAATGGTTTCTTTACTTTATACATTCTATATTATAGATAGTGGTTTTATATTCTTGTGATAGATCGTGTCTAGTAAAGACCAAAGAGTACCTATATAATCATTACGTTTAGTGTCTAGGAGTGGCCGCGTTGACTTGACTTTGATCTTATCTTTACCATATCAGCACAGCTTAAAGTAGACTATCTTTTAACTGTGATATTAGTTAAGGAAAATAAAACATACCTACTATAACAACAAATAAGTAGGTATGATAAGTACATCTATTTATTTAATGTTATATTAGGTCATTTTCGAAATCATTTAGATTTAGAGGAACAAATTTTGTAAATGGATTGTGTGCTTTTAAATTTTTCATTTCAAAAGGTGTAAAACAGGTTCTTAAAAACATCGAAAACTGTCTCGTCTAAGGCCACTGGGTAATGGAACGCACAGTTCCCTTTTCAGTACAACGACCCCGAATTCCGATTTCGAAGTTACATCATACGTTCACTAACCGTTCGTTTCGACCTTCAATATTCATTGTAACAAATTGTAGCACTTAATCGTAGATGTATAACGTTGAAAATTGCTAGACACGTTCTGATATGAGACCTATTGCGTTGTGTTGTTGTAAAAGGAAATGCTGGCCGATTGCCATTGTACCCGGTTTCCACAAATACCTAATTTAGTTTTTGCTAAAACGAGTATAAGACAAAAATTATACATATCCCTTTTACCCAACTGCAACGGAGCCTTAAAGGAGGCTTATATTTTCGGCTTATATTTTAAGTAGCTACCAAGCATGAGTTACGCTCCTATGTATGTCTGTGAATTACCTACCTAATATGTATTACGCACACACCGCACACAACATAATCTACCTACTTCATTGGCTAGCTACTTGTCAAATTTTGACAATTATACCAACATATTGGTCAATCAATCGATTTGACAAACTGTCAAATAGGGTTGCGTTCTAAAATATATAGGTTTAGCAAACTAATGTCAAGTAGGTACCTAAGTATCATATCATAATAATATGGCATCGCAGGAATTACAGAACGCAATAATGTCTCAGGCGGGTCGCTAATTGGGGCTTGTGTTAGTAAATAGGTAGCGCAAAGTTAATAGGTAGTATAGGTAGGTAGGAATCCATAATAATATGTCAGATTAGCTGATACCCGCGACTTCGTCCGCGTTGCTTACATATATCACTGAACACGTAATGCTTATAAAAATCGTTATTTCTTAAAACTTTAATAACTTTATAATAAATGAAGAAACCGCAATTTTTTTTTTATTTAAGGACCAAGTGTCTAAGAAATAAAACTTATAAAACCTAATTGAAATCTACCCAGTAGTTTTTCCGTGATGCGCGCACAACTGCAAACCTCTACCATTTTATGTATGTGGATGAAATGAATTATTAGCAGCTCGGCCTTTTTCCTCATTGAATGACTTCATACGACAAAAAAAAAGATAAGCAGCCATGAGCCATAACCGGCAGTTAATTGCATGGCTGTTATGTTTGTTAGATAAACCACAAAACCAGAGTATTAATAGCTTAATAAGTGAATATTTTCCTATTTCTATGCCTATTTTAGTAATTGTACTCTTTTGTAAAATAATTTTATACGTGTTAGAGCCACGTTGCAGCTATATTATGGTTTTGGCACGAATAGGTCGGCTCGATTTGCTGTTGTGTTTGGTATGGTGAATGTAGAGAACCGGAGACCCTTTATACTGGAAATGAGACAATCCATCTTAATCCTTCATTCATTCTTAATCGAGGATAGATGTAGACATCTAATTGGGCAACACATATTTGTCACCCTTATTCTATAAACAAGAACATTTTCCAGGGATCCATGAGTTATATGTACTACGTAGGTACTAGAGAAGCCATTCCAAACAAAAATTGTGTCCTACTCTATCTCTTCGCGCATGCGCGGGAGTAGTAGTCGCGCATGAAGACTTTAATTTAATATAAAATAAGATATTAATATAAAATAAATATGGTTCCAAAATGACCCGCAAGCTTTTAGAGCAGCCATCGTAGCCCTTATGGCTCCTACCACCGTTCAGGCACCGCCGCCCGTTATAGCGTCCTACCTCGAGTCCCGGAACTCGTTCGCGCCCCTTGAGATAGACATGGAGTGCTCCAACTCCAACTCCGACTCAGAATCCACACTCCGGGGCTCTGGTTCTACGGAGACGTCTGACTCAGACGGATCCGAAGAATCAGAGTTCACGACAGTGTCTTCCAAGCGTCGTAAACGCGCCGCGAAAACCGTTTCGGCGGCCTCTGCCGCCCCCGCAGCCCCCGTAGCTGCCTCAGTCCCCGCAGCTCCCGCTGCAGTTTCAGTAACACCACTGCCCAAGCCGGCCTCCCGCTGTGCTTCTAACCCGACTAAGAAGCAAGTTCCGCCCCCTGTCTTCTTACGAGACAAGGCTCAATTCACCCGCCTCTCCAAAACCTGCTACGACGCAGGAATAAAATACGACCAAGCCACCAACCTCGGGGAGGCTATTAAAATCATCCCCAAATCTGTCGACGACTTTCGTCGTCTCACCAGGCTCTTCACAGCCGAGAAAGTCTCTTATCACACGTACGCTCTTCCGGAAGAGCGCAAAATCAGGGCCGTCATCCGAGGCGTCCCTTTTGAAATTTCCAACGAGGAAATTCTTGAGGACCTTAAGTCCCAAGGATTCCCGGTTGAGGCTGTGCATAAAATGCACAGCAGAACGGGCTTGAGGTTCCCCCTCGCTCTCGCTATTCTTTCAAACGCTCCGGAGGCACAGACTATCTTCCGGCAGTTACGCACAGTGTGTGGGCTGTCGGGAGTTAGGGCTGAGCTCCCACATAGGCGCGGCTACCCGGCGCAGTGCCACCGCTGCCAATTATATGGTCATGCGGCGGCCAACTGCTCCGCCCCACCCAGGTGCGTTAAGTGCCTCGACCCACACAACACGAAAGAGTGTCCCCGGCCCAAAAATGCCGAATCCCCACCCGCGTGCGTCCTGTGCAAACAAACAGGCCACCCGGCTAACTACAGAGGCTGCCCTTGCGCACCTCACCCCCGCCCCATTAGGCACGCTCCACCGCCGGTTAATGCTAAGTCATTCCCGGCCCTCCCGTCAAGATTGCCACCTAAAAGATATTTTCGCCCATCTCAGGTAGACCCAAGGCCCTCCCGGGTCCCTCCCCCTCTTCTTCGCCCACCTCCGGGCTTCTCGCAACCATTACAGCCTCCAGTCTTTCCCTGGGGACCCAAAAAGGCCGACCCTCCGCGGTCGTCCCCCGCTGCACAGCATGAACAACCCTCAGTGGCTGATGATCTAAATACGGTGTACGCCGCTATTAAGAACGTCAACATTGGGGAGATCACAGTCTTAGCACGCAAATTGCGCGCTGCCAAGTCCCCTCAGGACAGACTCCTTGCTCTTACAGAGCATCATAATCTTTTAAGTACGTTGTAAAATTAATTTAATCATTTCATCGTAAGGTAAATACGTCGGGTTAAAACTGCCTCCGTAGGCACTCACTAATTAAAACTCTCTGAAACTTCTTTAAAGTCTCAGAGTTTCATTAACATACTCGTTCGTGAGGTAGCTAAGTGTGCAACCCCACTCCCTCTCGCTATCGCATCCGCAGGCCGAGGAACTCCCACTCGAACCCGCCTATTCTCTGTCAAACGATTTGAACTACCTCCTGGTGGCTCAGTCAATTTCATAATTAAATTTTCATAAATAATTAACATTTTACAATCAAATTGCCTTCCCAGGCACTCCCTCAGCGGCTTATAGCCGCCTGCGCCCTCTTTTTCCCAAAAGAGGGTCGCTTTACGATACGGCATATGCAGCTTTAATAGAGCTAGTTGCCAGTCCCCAAAGGCGGTTTTTAGTGGGTATCACTTAGGTCCCCCGGTAGGTTGTGAGTCCCACATAACCACGATGGATAGCCATCGTGGTATGCGTAATGCATTTTCCGCCTCCCGTAAAGGGTAGCCCTTTCCAAATTGCTTCGGGCGCAAAAAAAAAAAAAAAAAAAAAAAAAATAAAATAAATATAAGAATTTAATATAAAATATCTTAATTTAATCTAAACAAACATGTTTCTAAATAAAATGTAATAATAATTATTTGATGGAATTCACAAATCTTCAATTTACGCAATATTTAGTTTGTACGGATTGCAGTACAGTTCAGTTGAACATAGTCAATGTTCGGAATGGCTTCTCTAGTACGTAGTACATATAACTCAATGTATTGTAGTATAAGGTATGCGGTTATAAATATCTCAATGTTATTTGGGGCTTAATAATAATAATTATTTTAAGACTGAAAAAGTTATAAAAAATTCAAGGTTTTTTTAAAATAATTATTCAGAATTGTGAGAAAATTGCACCCTTAATATACTAATATAACAATAAAATGTAAGAACATAAATAATATTTTTTTTATATTTTTTAATTTCGTATTCGGCCGATACCGAAGGACTATAGGTCTCCTTAAGTTTTCAACTAATGCAGTCATATTTTTTATCTCATACCATTTATAATATTTACCTAACTTATTTACCTCAAGATCAGACGAATAGTTTTTGAGTTATTCTCAATAACTTATATTGAAGTCGGCTGTACAAAATTTTAAATTTTAAATTATAAACCCTTGTAAAGGAGACTTGTAAAGGGCTGTAATAATGATGATGATGATGATGATGATGAATGTTGCAGGTGTCCATGGGCTGCAAAAGCCACGTACCATCCGATGGACTGTAAGTTTATTTGGCACTTCAAATTTTAAGAAAAATATACCAACTTTGATTTTACTTTAAATTAAATGATTAGATAATAGGTATTATATAAATATAATTTTATTTTACCTGATCTATCCAGCAGTGGTTTATTAAGCCTAATAAGGCAATAAAGTCAGTTTTCGAAGTATGTACCACCGTGTAGTGGCTGTATAAGAATATCTACTACCCCATATCATCCCGTGGGTGACGTAAGAGGCAACAGAGGGAAACAAATCAAGATATGGGCAGCAACGTCTTCCTAATAACGATTAAAAATAAAAAATAAACTGCGATTGCCAACCCGCTGCAAAGCGTGCCAACTATGGCAAATATTCCCCCCCCCCCCTCTATCAAGCAATGTATGTGGTGGCCTATGTTCAGCAGTGGACTTTAATAGGCTGGAACGGTAATGGATTCTACTCGTAAGTATGCATAGGCAGCCTTACCTTGAGGTATTCTGGCTTAAGGTGCTCGCCGTGGTGTAGATCCACCAGCTTCAGATTGAGGTTCAGGTTGAGAGCACGCGCTGTGAGAAGCACCGCACGGCACGGCGCCGAGCCGGGGACGTAGTACAGGTCGATCGGCATTCTGCTGCGGAAGTGAAATGTCTTCGTTATTATGAATGTCCAGAAGTTTTTTTTAATTTTCTGCCAACTTCCAAAAAGGAGACGGTACTCAATTCGACTGTATGGTTTTTTTATGTGTGTTACCTCATAACTTTTTACTGGGTGAACCGATTTCGATGATTCTTTTTTTTTTTGAAAGCTGATACTTCTCGTGTGGTCCCATATGAATTTAATCAAGGTCAGACTAATAGTTTTTGAGTTATTCTTAATAACTTATATTGAAGTCGGTTGTACAAAATGTTTAATTTTAGATTATAAAAATACGTATAATTCTTTCTTACTACTAAACTGTAATGGATATTTGACGGATGGCAGAAGATGACACTACAACTACATCTATGTTATATCTCTACATGGTATAAAACAAAGTAGCCTTTCACAGTCTGTACTCTTAGATCTTTTAAACTACGCAACAGATTTTAATTCAGTTTTCATCAATAGACAGAATGATTCAAGAAGAAGGTTTATATTATACAACGTGTCCCAAAATTCAACGATAAGCCAACACCGGAGGATAGACCTGCCCCGGACTAATCGGGTAAAAAAAGAAAAAAAAATATATCCCAATTATATTTTAAGTTATATAAAAAAAATGAAATTCTTCAGAAATTGAGACCGTTTATGATATTTTTCACTACCATGACCACAATTTTTTAAATATTTTTTTCTTTTTTTTTTATAGGCAACCTGAATAGTACTGCTATCTACCACAATTCTTAAAAACTCCAGAATAACTCTTGTTTTATCACGAAAATTAATGAAACTTATTTTATTCCCTAAATTTTTTGAAGACTTTTACTTTTAACCAAATTTAACTTATCGTGGTGTAAAAAAAAAGTATGAACACTAGTATGGCAAGTTTTTTTAAAAATTGACGCAACTAACCAATATTCCAAAATGGTATAATACTCTAGGAAAACAAGTTATAAAAAAATATGGGCCTATTATTTCTTAACAGGGGCCAAATTCCTTAAATTGTAATTGTCAGTAATCACTTTTACTACATGCCCAAAATGGGTTCCTGTTACAATTTCTAGGAATTCGAATGGGGCATTAATACCTTAGATGTTAGAGAGAGATAGATAGATAGAGATATTTATGTTAAAAAGAGACAACAACAGGGCAGGTAGAGAAGCTGTTATTATTCTCAGCAAGTCGGTTCAGTACGCTCTGCTCCTTTGTTTACTGCGCACCGTACCCAATTCAACTTACGTGGCCCTCGTACATACTATCGACTTTTGGCTTGGCTTTTTGGACTGGAATCGACCTGCCAACTTAACTGACCTGGCATTATTTGGACTGGAAGTGATCTGCAAACTGAACTGACCTGGCATTATCTTGGACTACGATTGTGTGTTTTGTGATTTAGAGTTCTGGCGCATTTTGGACTGTTTAGCGTTTAACATGCCGCAACCGTACACACCACAGGAATACGCTAATATGCATTTAATCTATGGAGAATGCCGATGTAATGCTAACGCTGCTAGCAGACTGTATCCAGAAAGATACCCAAATGCTCAAAGATATCCTGATTATCGAGTGTTTATTAATGTGCATCAAGCGTTTTCGGAGGGTCGTATGCCATCCAATAGGAGCAGCGCTGGAAGACCTAGATTGGATCGTGATGAAGAAGTTCTCAAGGAGATAGAAAATGACTCGACTACTTCGGTACGTGCCATAGAAGAAGCTACAGGAATCCCGAAAAGTTCTGCACATCGAATATTAAAACGTCACAAGCTTCACCCATATCACTACAGGCGTGTGCAGACGTTATTACCGCGGGACTATCCGCTACGGGTCACATTTTGCCGTGTAATGCTGGTCGGATGAAACAACGTGCAAGAAAGATGGGTATTTAAATCTTCAGAATCTACATAGTTGGAGTAATGAAAATCCACACTTGATGAGACAAGACAAATCCCAATATCAATTCAAGGTTAACCTATGGACCGGCATATTAAATGAAAAAGTAATTGGGCCCTTTGAGTTACAAGGAAACTTAGATGGCAATAGTTATTTAAACTTTTTACAAAATGACTTGCAAGAATTGTTAAACGACGTGCCCTTAAGTGATCTTCAAAACATGTGGTTCCAAAATGATGGTTGCCCAGCACATTATGCCCGTCCTGTGCGAGAATATTTAAATCAAGAGTATCCAGGGCGTTGGATCGGGCGACTTGGTCCTATCTTATGGCCACCCCGTTCACCCGATTTGAACCCCCTGGACTTCTTCTATTGGGGTTGTCTTAAAAACAGGGTCTACTCAAAACCCATTGTGACATTGGACGAGCTTCGTCGAAATATCACTCAGGCTGCTGATTACATTAATAGCAGAAGATATGCAAGACAAATAAAACGATCATTTTTAAGGCGATGTCGTGCATGTATTAATGCTGGTGGCAAACAGTTCGAACATTTGCTATAATGTTAATAACTTAATAAATTACACGTGAAACTGTTTGTACCATTTGTTTTGAAATATTAAACATTTTTCAAGAAATAATACTTTTATTACACCCGACCGTCATTTGGCCCCTGTTAAGAAATAATAGGCCCATATTTTTTTATAACTTGTTTTCCTAGAGTATTATACCATTTTGGAATATTGGTTAGTTGCGTCAATTTTTAAAAAAACTTGCCATACTAGTGTTCATACTTTTTTTTTACACCACGATAAGTTAAATTTGGTTAAAAGTAAAAGTCTTCAAAAAATTTAGGGAATAAAATAAGTTTCATTAATTTTCGTGATAAAACAAGAGTTATTCTGGAGTTTTTAAGAATTGTGGTAGATAGCAGTACTATTCAGGTTGCCTATAAAAAAAAAAAAATATTTAAAAAATTGTGGTCATGGTAGTGAAAAATATCATAAACGGTCTCAATTTCTGAAGAATTTCATTTTTTTTTATATAACTTAAAATATAATTGGGATATTTTTTTTTTCATTTTTTACCCGATTAGTCCGGGGCAGGTCTATCCTCCGGTGTTGGCTTATCGTTGAATTTTGGGACACGTTGTATATAATAAATGCATATTATATATTATATAATTCTTCTGTAGGTACGTGTGTATGTGACACTGAATTCCTTCTAAACGGCGGGACGGGACCGATTTTGATGAAATTATGTGTGTGTGATTAAGTTGATTAGAGAACGGCTTAGATTCACAATAGGACCCGGTAAGTGGCGTTGTTGTAGAGATCCAGAAATCAACCATGCGAAGCAGGGGCGGATCGCTAGTTTAAAAATAAATAAAGAGATACGTATGTCAATAAGCTTACGATAAGACAGACCTGGATAAGATCTACACGTAAACTTTTCTTTTGAATTTTATTATAACATACTGATATTGAAACGACTATCATTGTTAGTAATGCATAATATGATGCTTTTGAACATGAATATGTATAAAAGGTTTATTTTTAGTACACTTTTATTACGCTAATTAATATTGAAAAAAATATATATAACTTGTTCCAAAATAGTTGTTAAAAAAGCATAATTAAACATTTCCCGTACCGGGAATCGAACCCGAGCCTCCTGGGTGAAAGCCAGGTATCCTAGCCACTAGACCATACGGGAGATGTGAGTATCAACTAAAATAATAATCAAATAACACAAATAAATTGTTTACGACTTAGAACACAATTCATAAAAAATAACATTAATTATGTAAGAGACGAAATTATTTATAAGCACATAATTTATGACTAGAGTACTTTATGTTTATATATAATGTTCTTTTTATTAATATCTCTAATTTAATTAAGTAAGTAGGTACCTAATGTGTGTGTGGCGAGCGGAGTCCAAAAATTTAAATAAAATGTTTAACGATTTTAATTCATATTTGACAAGAAACAAGTTTAGCTACAATTTTATGAATCAGAACTCTAGAAGTTTCCCAACAGTCACGAGGTAAATCGATTGAGTCGACACTCGACACGGAATTGTATTTGACTCATTCTACGTTACTCCGTTACCAAGATACCAAGGTTGTCAATAACTGTTTTTGTGTTCACGCTATACAAAAAGTTAATTGAAAGACGTTATATTTCCGTCATTTTGTCGCAAAATCCTAGTTTTAAGCATTTTACAAGAAATTTCCGGATCAACGTAACCAAAGACAAAAAAGATTAGCAAACGGATAAATAATTACGCCGGTTTAAAGTTCGTAAAACCGAAAACCGTTGAAGAAGCTTATTCCTTCATTGGCAGCCATATGTGGCCTCTATAAAATGACAGCTTAGTGAAAGAAGCGCTAATAGAATGACTAATTAATTAATTTTTGAAAATTCTATATTATTCAAGGATGATACGGTCTTTTCTTTATTCTTCAAGAGTATCTTCTCGGTTTTTCATTATTTTTTTTTATAAAAAAAGACTGACGAACGAGAACAAAGTTCAACTAATGGTAAGTGGCTGCTGTTACCCGTAGACACCCATAAGGTAAGCGTTGTAAAAGAAACCGTGCCAACCGTGCTGCGTTTTGCCGGCGTCGGAAAATCCACTGACCAATATCATCACGTGGGTGTCGTAAAAAGCGGCAGAGAGAAATGCAACAGGAGATGGGCAGCAAAATATTCCTGATGACAACTCAAAATAATAAAAAACTGTGGTTACCAATCCGCCTACTAAACGTGGCAACATGCCATATTATGCCCTCTTATGAGGCAATCTATGGGGATAGCCTATGTTCAGCAGTAGACTTTGATAGGCTGTAATGATGATGATGTTTGCAGACTTAAAAAGCAAAGAGCTGGGTGATACGATTACAGTTGCCAATCCTACTATAACTACATACGTAGGTCACTCAATAAGTTTTGAGATGCTCGAAATTTAAAAATGGAACGCACCCGTGTTATATGTTTCTAAAAAGCAAATTTATTTAAAAACAGAACCCCATAAGCCAATTGCTCAATATTAAAAAAAAAAAAAACAAAGTTCTATTAATTTTCCTGCAACGCTTCCC